ATATTTAATTGTATTTTATTGTTTATTTTCATATCAAAACACTGTATATTTCATTCATATACATGTTTAATGTGACATTGTCATGAGTGTGAACATCAATATGCTCCATTCAATGTATGTAAACGTGCAGCTAATCGAAAAAATAAGAGTGTTTTAGTGACAGCAGCTGTAGTGTCAACATAAACGTTTTAATTACAATAATGATAGTTATTATTATTGACACACAGTGCTGTTATTTATTAGTTGGGTGTTGACATACTCTGCATGTCTTTGTCTTTTAACAGCCACCTTTTACACACTGCCATGTTGTGTGAATGGATCCGTCTGTAGTTGAGCAACGTGCCGTCTGCTGTCCCATCTAACGGGTTTTACCGCCTTTTCAGAGGATTGTTAACATATGTGTTCTGCACAGACATTCTGTGTTTCTTATAAAATATGCAGCACATACCCTCAGTGTCCCATCCTGACTTCTACCTTCAACTGTCCCAGACTAAAAATATATGTACATACATAATAAATAATAACTCTAACATCATTGTCTCTGGCCCGCTTTGGAAGTTCTGTTATATCTGAATAAAATACTGAACTCATCCTTTAATGTTTGGCCACAATCAGTTTTAATTATTGGTTGAGTTGAGTTAAGTTTGATCAATAACCATCACAGTAAACCTGTTTCTGATTGGTACACAGTGCTGTAATAAGAGAGGATTATGGATCCCACACTGGGGAAATTAACTTGTTACAGCAGTTATATGTGCAATATATACACCTTTTATATACTGTCTTATGTTTGATGTGTCGCATTATACTAAAAACATTAAAAGTATATATAGAAACCTTTTTCTTAAGGATGAAATTGCACACAGATTGCAGCAGGAGGTATTGATCACTAATTACAGGAACATTTTATATATAAAGTCAAAAAAAGTTATGTTTTAAATCTACAAAAGAAGGAATAATAAAAAATAAAAAATTGTAATATTTACAAGCTCAAACTATTTACATATAAGCTGAAGGAACAGCCTGATGCAGAGACTGTACACGACCCAAGAGGAGAGGTAGAGACCTTGGTGCTGTTGGCAGCATTCATGGAAATTAATGACAATTTAATATATTTGAATATAATTCTCACCTTTTCCCTGATAGTCTGAATAAGTCACTACACTTTTAGAAATAAAGACTCAAAACTATGATGGATTTTGTGTGTGCAAGCTCACATTATTTGAGATTTGGACACTTAACAGTTAAAATTATATATATTCCATGATAAACCAGGACCCAGCGTCTACATGAAGTTCTGGGGAACTTTGGTCGATTACTTAAAGCAACAACAATTGAACCTTTTAGTTCCTTGAAAAACTAGTTCCTGGGATTAAAAGCTCTGGGTTCTTTGGGAGCAAACATGACTTAGAAACACAAGACAGTAGCAGAAGTTAAACTCGTCATGAAGGAGAACTACTCAGCCTGTAAAAACTCTATAATGTTATTGATTTAATCTATAAAAATCACCCTGCTTGAGTTGATTTTCCACTTTCAAACATTGAGTAACAAAAGATTTTCTGGATGACCAATCGGTCAGTCAACATGTTCCTTTTTCTCAGTATTGTTTTGTAATGTAATGAGGCGTGGCTCCATGTTAACCTGAAACCCACCTACTGTAAACACTGTACAGTCACCTTGAACATCCTTTAAAACCTTGGTTCCTGTTATATATCTAATATATCCACAACCTCATTAACACAAACTAAAGTTCCTTTTAATGACTTTACTAACTTTAACTTTACTACAAAACGTGGTCCTGGTCCATCAAGGATTAAATTACATAATTATACACATTAAAGAGACTTATTCCATTTAAAGTGGCTCTAAGATATAAAATTACACATTCCTTAAGATAATTAATGCCAAACATCCTTAAAAAGAAGAATAAATTAATATATCATTTCACTTCGAGTAACAAATACTTTCCAATATGGAACACAAGAAAGTACTTTCATCTCAAAAACACTTATTACTCACATTTAATCTCATCCTCACATCCCTTAATAGACACTAAGGATCTGTATTTAAAGCCACAAATATCCCTAAAACTCTAAATCATGACCTTTAGTCTACTATCAGATCACATTTGTTACTGTTAGAGAGACCTTTTCCTTAGAAATGTTAATGTGAAATGTTTAAAATGAATGGACACACCCTGTTAGCCCTTAAAACAACCACATTTACACTAATTTCTCCAAACACAAGATACCAAACATCCTTAGAACTGGTTAAATAAGATAAGAATAAAGACAATATGTTAAAATATTTCACTTTAAACAAACAAAATTTTATAGTAAAAGAAAAAACTCTCTCAGTCCCTCATAAGGGATAATGAAGTGGTTTGAAGGGTTTTTACCACACACTAAAATATCTCAGCTCTGGACGACTTAAAACTAATTCATAAATATTTAAACGTGATGATTTTGCATCAGTTTCATGCTTTCATGCCAATCACATGTAAAGATAAAGCTTCACATACGTTACTGTTTTACAATCTAACATCTTATATCCAACAAACTGCAATAAATACAGAAACTTCAACAACAGATCAAATACACATGAAGTTCAGAAGACTAAATATGGAGGGTTTTTTTCACAATAAGGAAACAATTTTATTAAAAAAAACACATAAATCATCATAAATAATGGAGACGTTAGATATTAGATATATTAATAGAGATTAATGCAGAGAGTGATTGACAGCGGTTATTTTACTCATAATTATCAGCTATAAATAGAAAAATAGAACAGTATTATTTAACTTTAATGCCTTTCGCACAAAGCTGCATATTAGACAAAACTAATAATCAAGTGTTTGTTTTTTGACAACTATAGTTCCTGTTACTGTAGTTACTCTGCAGACTTTAATTAATGTTTTTGCTTTATAGAAATCTGACTTTTTTACTTCAGAGTTTTAAAAACTTTACTCAACATAGATTTCCTTTCAGATCATTTTCATAAAATTTCTTCATGAATATTTTGATTCAGTACTTTGGTTTTTTTATTTTTTTATTATTGCTACAATCTTGTAAAAAAGTTGAGTTTTGAACACAGGATTTGTACTCACATGTTCTACTGTGACATAATTCAAAGATCCTATACTGGAGGTTGTAGCCTGGCATCAGTTTAATGGAGTTAATTCAGATTCAGATGTGTGATTAGGTTTATTTTACTAATAAAATTAAGTTCATCAAAGTTATTTATAGGTTGCTAAAAGTAACCTGTACTCTTTTTTAATTAGGTTCAATATCACACGCAAATAAAAGACCTTTACCAAGATAATTAAGTTAATCTAACAAAGTAATATCAGTGCAGTACCCTGTTTAGTTCGACTCAACAGTTCAAATAAAGGCATTATTTTGGTTCAGGTGCGTACGGCGAGGGGGGGTCCTACTTGGTGTGAAGGCATAGTCCAGCAGAGTCGCCACACAGGATCACTGTTGAAAGAAAGGTCATAACTTGAATGTTTCATATGATCGGACCTCAGCCACATAAATAATATCCTCCTTCTGCCCTCCCTCTCTCATCTCTGTCTCTACCTCCAGCACAAACACCCTCTCCATCCCCCTCACGTGACAAAACATTACCTGTCCAACGACACCCCGAGCACCCGAAGAACTTCACCTGTTTCACACAGCAAACATAGTCAACAACTCAAGTTTGAGTTCAAAAGTGAAAAGTTTTTACATTTATTGACACTTTTTTACTCTGTAAATGCCTGTAAACAGCAAATCTTAATAAAATAAGTTCCATTAATTAAACCAACGAATAATGGTCGGGAGCGGTGTGTTAGAGTTGTAGAGTGAAGGCGTCTGAGGGTTGGTAGAGGGGGAGGTGATGCGAGAGTGATAGAGCGGAGGTGTGAGTGTGGTGGTATAGGGTCGGAGTGGGGGTGGGATGGTGGGGACTAATTGATGAGTATGGAGGTGGGGTACCGTGTCTAAGAGTTGAGAGTGGTGTGCGTGCGCGGTTGTTCGTTATGGGAATCGCATTAATTGTAAAATTATTTTTTTTTTCGTACGTCAATTGTTTTTACGGGTTATGTCATAATTTGATTGAGTAAATTAAATTTAAGTGGAAACATTTGTTTAAAGAAGATTCAAAGTGACTTTAATCAGTTATTGTAACACATTTTAAATTTGAGTGTAATATATTTACTAGTTTTAAACACAATTTGATTTACCTCGACAATAAATGAGTCACTGAAACTCAAAACTTTTTTCATGCTTTAATTGTTGGCCTTAATAAATTTGAACTAATCAGGTTTTACATATTAAGGTCTCTGGAGGCAGGTGAGCAGAAGGTTGGTGGTTCGATCCCCAGCTCCTCCAGCTGCACGTCGAAGTGTCCTTGAACAAAATACTGAACCCCAAACTGTATCACTGTATGACTGTATGAATGTGTGAATGTGGCTGTAGTGTAAAAGTGCTTTGAGTGGTCAGAAGACTAGAAAGACTCTATACAAGTACAGGATCATTTACATTTAAAAACATGATATAATACATTGTAATGAAACTGTGTAGTTGTGTCTTCTTGTCTTTATTGTCTATATAAAGTAATTAAAACACAATAAGTTAGTTCAACTCAAACTTTATGAAGAAACTGGAACCATTTAAGTTTATTAACTCGAACAATTTAAGCAGGAAAGATATTTGATTTGAGTAAAAGTAACTAAGTATTTATTGTTGGTTATTGTTGGTAAATTAAGTTAATTGAACTAGTTACACTCATATGCAGCATTTCTTTAAACTAATTTAAAATGTGTGAACAGAATTTATCTGAATAATAAGTCAGACTAACTTAAATCCATCACAAATGTTACATCTTCCTTTAAATTTTATTTTATTTTATC